GCCCGAAATCCCAGAGACACACTTATACTATACTTAGATCCTATTACCCCCCCACCCCCGAACTTATTTTATAAATAATTTTTACCCCTTTTCGGCCTACATGGCACTATCAACTAGATAGTTTGAAAAAATTGTCAACACACGCTGGGCCCAGAAGATAGTACCATGTAGGTCGAAAAGAGGTAGAAAGTTATTTATAAAATAAGTTCGAGGGGGTAATAGGTCCTTAGTATAGTATAAGTGTGTTTCTGAGATTTCAGGAATAGGTTAGGGGGTACTTATGCATTTTCCCTAATTAAAATACTAGAGTAGTAAAGGTACTCCTAAAAAGAGTAAGCTTATAAGGACACTAAAGTAAGACAAGATAACAAAATATATAATGAAGTAACTACCTTGAACATACCACAATTTATAGTTCTAGCAAAGATAATTAACCGATTAAGAAGTATTCAAATAAGCACACAAAACTTGTTGTAAGAACCGAAGTCCAAACTTCGTGCAGCCACAAGAACAACAAAAACTCATAAGGTAGTACATAAGAATATTATTTCTTTTGAAAGTGTATAAGAGTGTTGTGCTTGCTTAAGCGTGTGGACAAAATGGAGGGAGTCTTGTTTTTATAGTAAAATATAGAGGACACATCAACAAGTACAAAAATAGAGAAAAGGAAAGAAAATTATTCTCCTCAATTAGACCCACATTCTTGGTATTTAATTGATTGATATTATCATAACCATGAGACTTTAAGAAATACGGTTAATCAAATATGATACTAAGTCAAAGTTTTTCCAAAAATAAACAAGCAACAGGGAACATCAATGCATAGATTTTACCACAAATCAATTGGTATTAAAATAGTGCAATTTAATAATGAAATAACCATATTAGAGATTGCCATCGATGAATATGTCATAATAAATAGAAGAAAAGAATCATGAATGATCTTCTAATTTTGAAGGAACCATGTTAATATAATCAAAAACTTCTGTCCAAGATAACATGATTTAGAGACTGTCATATTTTGAAGGTCACGTATGTATTCTTACTATAACTAGCAAAAGTTTACCAATTACAATTAAGTCAAAGATGTCCACACTAACTAAAAGAAAGAAATGCGGGAGAATAAAATAGAGTCAATCTAGGAGAAGAATCATGTCAAGGTTTACCAAGGATAGGTAAATATTAAGGTGTACCAACCGATTAAGGGAACAAAAATGGAAAGAAGCATGAATCATAGAGATTTTCATAATAAGAGATCAATTCATTAAACAAATAAATTAAATTCTCATATTAAACCTTCCTACAATTAAATCAAGAAACCACAACTCAATTAGTATTTTTAAAGAAAAACTCAAAGGTGTACTAACACCCATTTACAAAAGGGGCAGATTACATTCAAACAAAAATAGGAACACACAAGGCAAAAAATGCACTAGTTTAGGAACTCAAAACTATAAGGAAATCTTGCTTAAGAGAGATTTCATGGCCATTATTGAATTTCATGTAGCGTAAGAATTCAATCATAACTACTAAACTAAAAAAATATAGGTAATTGAAGAACTTTTTTTTTAAAAGATGAGATAATAATCTAAATTAAAAAATAAAAAAATGAACCTGCATGGATTTGTTAAGATCTGTCTTCAACAACCCCCAAAACCTTAAGGCTCCAGCGGGTCATTGGTCGGAGCGTGGAGCAATGATGCTCGTGTTTGGTTGTTGTCGATCTCACTAGGGAGGGATGATGGTAGGCTTGCGTTGTAGAAGCTTAATGGATCTTCGCGGTGACTGTCTTGTCAGAGTTTTTGGTTGGAACTAGTGAGAAAAAGAAGATGAGGAAATGGTTGAGGTTGCATGGTGTAGCGCTTCACCGGCCAGCACGGAAGAGAAGAGAGGTGGAGGGAAAGATAAAGGAGAGGAGAGGGGCGACTGGTTTTGGTGGTAAACGATTGTTGTCCACTAGTGGTTGGAAAAGCACCGTGAGAAGAGAAGAATAGGGAGAGGGGCTCTCTTGGTGGGTGACCTCGTGAGTGAGGCTAGAGCAGGGGTTTCACCGGTGGTCTTCACCGACGATGGATGAAGTTGGAAGATAGGGGAGCAGTGCCTGTCATTTTTGATGAAAATGAGGGGGAAAAATAAAATTAGGGTTAGGGTGTTGAGATATTAATATAGGGAAGTGGTAGGAGACTCAATCTTAGTTGTTGGATCAAGATGAGATGTGGGGTTGCAATTTAAAAGAATGGAATGGATGGTTGGGTTTAAATATGAGATCTTGAGATTGGGATGGAATTAATTGGTTCAAAATGAGCTAAATTTGAGATAAAATTAAGTATAAAAGGGTAGAAATTAAATAGATAGAATAAAAGGGGCTACAATTCAAATGATTTTGAGGAAAGTTTAATAAATTTGCTATCCAATAAACGGTTATGCTATACATATTAAATAATTTTCATATAAGATAAACACACTTAAATATTATTGACGTTAAATTGACAAGTAGATTAATTATCTCAAGTTTAGAAACAACAACAGAAGTAGCAGTAGCAACAACAACAATAAAATAATAATAATTTTTTGTAAATTATGAATACTAAAGTATATGATTAATTTGATAAAATTTAAACATTATTCTAAAGATATAATAAAGAAATAGGTTTTAAAACACATATTTAATCAAATAGCAATTCAAAAAGGGTTATAGATCGGTCAAAATTGGTTGTCAACAATTGCCCCTCTTTGCTCTAAAATGAAGGATGAATTGGCGGGCAAAAACATTGAATAAGTAGCCGATTTTGTCCAACTAATGGAAAGAAGTTAGAGGGATCAACTGAAACGATAAGCAATTGTGAAAAAAAAGGTGTGGCTGAGATTTTGTCCTTAAGTCGCCTATATATCTCTGCCAGGGGCGGAGCTATGACTTGGCGAGGGAGGTCAAATGAACAACCTTTCGTCAGAAAATTTTTGCGAGTATATGTACTAAATATTGATATTTCTGGATATATACTAATTGTTGAACACCCTTGAAACAATAAAGGTAGACAGCCCTGCGGTTAAGGCTGTGCAAAGCCGCCTCACTATTCCGGGTTCGAGCCCGAGTTTAGGCATTTTGTTTGATTTTTTTTGTTATTCCGTTTTTTCTCTTAATAAGGCAAAGCTCTGGCTTTTGTGGCTTGGGTTCGAGCCCAGGCTTGAGAGTTTTGTTTATTTTATTTTTGTTCTATTTTTCTCATAAAAAAGAGTACAAAAGTGACATTTTTTAAGTTAAGAAAAACAAAAGGTCTTCTTTTGACTTTTCTTAATTTTAAAAAAGAATAGATTTATATAAGTTTGTATTTTCCTTTTAGTTTTTTGTCTTCTCCTTCTCCCAAGAACCCTTTATAACTTTACTCTTTACGTTTCTCTCTTCTCAATTTTCATACATATTTGCAAGTTTTAAGAAATTGGAAGCTTTAATCACTGTATATTTCTTCCTCAACCGCCATTGAAGTGTGAAAAGGTATTTCTTAATGTTTTTTTCCTTTAGTTTAATTTTTTCTAATCATGTGTTGAAAGACTTGTATATCTTAATTTTTATGTTGAAAACTACTTTATTTATTCGAGTATCGATCAAGTATTTGGTGTACTATGGATTGAGTTTTAATAAGTTGGTACACTTGACTGCTATTTCAGTATGGTGTTCAATGAGCTTGGAAAAATATTTTTTTAGAGTACCCAAAACAATTTTGGCTCCTCAAAATCAAAATCAACTACGCCGAGATAAAAATGTCGACCAAATAGAAATACCATCTCACTCTTCCCAAAGACAAGAATTTGATGTAAATGATTTAAAGGTTGATCCTGCTGAAATAAATCCAATTTTGAATTATCATCCAATCGAGATGAGATAAGGAAGGCATACATCATTAAAAGTCCTTTTCAACCCCGAACTCATCAGTTTACTCAAATTGATTTTCTTGGAACACCACGTCATTTTGTTTATGCGTGGTTTGATGAATATTGTGATTGGTTGGAATACACTATTAGTGCAGATGTTGCTTATTGCTTACCTTGTTATTTGTTTCAAGGAGAAAACATTAATCAAGGGGGTGGTAATGTATTTTCGACTAAGGGATTTACAAATTGGCATAGAAAGGATAGCTTTGCTACACATATTGGTCCACTAAATAGCGTTCATAATCAATCCAAAAGAAAATATGAAGATCTCATGCGAGAACAACATTCCATTCAAGCCACATTTTACACGTTGAATGATAAAAGTAAGCATGAATATCGGGTTTGCTTAAACGCTTCAATCGATGTGGTAAGACTTCTCTTGAATTAAGGTTTTGCATTCTGTGGTCATGACGAGAGTGAATCGTCATTGAAAAGGGGTAATTTTCTTGAAGTTCTTTCTTGGTTTGTTGCTCGATGTGATGCAATTAAACCTTTTGTGTTAGAAAAAGCTCCAAAAATAATAAAATGACTTCTCACGACATCCAAAAAGATATTTTGACTACGTGTAAGATTGAAACAGTTAAGGCTATAATAGAGGATATAAATAATGACTACTTTGCTTTATTGGTTGATAAATCTAGAGACGTGTCACGCAAAGAGCAAATGTCTATTTGTCTAAGATATGTTGACAAAAGGGGGTTCGTGATGGAGGCATTTATTGGACTTGTTCATATTAAAGATCCTAGTGCTTTATCTCTAAAAGAAGCAATTGTAGATGTACTTGCTCACCATTCTTTGGCTTTACTAATGTATGTGGGAAATGTTATGATGGGGCAAGCAATATGCAAGGTGAGCTAGGTGGTCTTAAAACATTGATTAGACAATAAAGTAGATTGGCTCATTCTGTTCATTGTTTTGCTCATCAATTTCGATTGACTCTTGTTGTAGTTTCTAAAAAGTATGTTCAAGTTGGTGAACTTGTATTATTAATTTCAAATATTCTGAATGTGTTGGGAGTTTCTTTTAAACTTATGGATAATTTTTGAGAATCTCAAAAAAAAAATCTCTAAATGGCGTTGGATATGGGTGAACTAGAAATGGATAGAGGATTGAATCAAGAACTTGGTCTTGTTAAAGCCGATGATACTCGTTGGGTATCTCACTGCAAGTCATTTGAAAATTTTATTTGTAGCTTTGACTTATTATTGATGTACTTGATACTCTTGTTGTAAATACAAGTACTTTGGAAAAAAGAGCAACCACATTAGGATTTCTCAGAAGTTGTCAAACGTTTGAGACTATTTTCGTGTTGCATTTGATAACTAATGTTTTAGGAATCACAAATGATCTTAATGTTTCAGTACAGAAAAAGGAGCAAGATATTGCAAATGCCATGATTCTTGTAAAGGTAACAAAGAGAAAGTTGCAAGCTTTTAGAGATAATGAATGGGATCCAATCTTAAAAAAATATTGGATGGGATTCACTTAAAAAAAGGTAGAAGCATTTTGTATCAAACATGGGATTTCATTACCCAATTCTAATGATCCATATGCTAATTCTGGGAGATAATGACATAAAGTAGTTATTTGTACAACTTTGCACCATTATCATGTGGATGTGTTTTATAAAATTATTGATTGGCGGCTACAAGAACTTAATGATTGTTTCAATGAGGTGACAAGTGATTTGCTTAATGGAGTATCTTGCTTGAATTCAATTGTTCATTTTCTAGTTTTGACATAAAAAAGATAATGAGAATGGATGAATTATATCCTGATGACTTTGATGGGTCCAACATGAGAGCTCTTGAGAATCAACTTGTTAATTACATTATTGATGTTCGTGATATTGATGAAAGGTTCTCCAATTTGAGTGGACCTGGGGAACTTTCAAGAAAGTTGGTTGAAACAAAGAAGCATTTAAACTATTGTCTCATATTTCTTTTAGTGAAATTTGTTTTGCTTCTACCCATTGCCATTGCTACCGTTGAAAGAACTTTTTCGGCAATAAAGATTATCAAGAATGACTTGCGGAATCGAATGGATGATGAATTCTTAGATGGTTGCATAGTGCCTTATGTAGAGAAAAAAGTATTTAAAGATGTTTCTAACGAGTGTATTATGAAAATATTTCAAGAGATAAAGTGTCATCGAGTGCAATTGTAGTTTCACTTTACATATTTTGGTGTGTATGAAACTATTTTTCAATATATTTGTCCTACTCCATCTTCGTTAGTTTATCCATTGATATTTTGTAAGTTTCCGTTTTAAGAACTTTCTTTAAGGAAAGTTGGTTAATTTGATATTGTACAGGTAAAGAGTATGAACAACTTGGAGCACTATGTAGAAATCAATAATTGAGGTATGAGTATTTTGTAGCCAATCTTAATAATTTGACCAGCAAAGTTTATTTTTTTACTTATCCTAAAGTATGAACAACCTTGACGAAAATCCTGGCTCCGCCACTGATTTAAAGACATAAATCTATATGCTTCACTATTTTAAGCATAACCAATAAAGACAGTATCATAGTCTTAGAACCAACATTTACTCGTTTAAAATCAGGTAGACCAACCTTATCCAAACGCCCCCATATTTTCATATATTTCAAGTTTAGAGCAAACCCTTTGCAAAACTCATATGAGATCTTGTCTAACTTCTTATGAGGGACTCTATTAAGAATGTAGCATGCAGACAACACTACTTCTCTCCACATATTGTTAGATAGATCAGAGCTTAAAAGCATAGAATTCATCATTTCTTTAAGGGTTCTATTTTTCCATTCAGCTGCACCATTTTATTGGGGAATATAAGGAGCACTAACCTCATGAATAATACATTTTTTCTCACAAAAATCATCTAGAGTTTAAGTACTATATTAACCGCTCCTATCAAATTTACATCTCTTGTTTTCCTATCTAATTGATTTTCCGTTTCTTCTTTGAATTTCAAAAACATGTTTTCAGACTGATCTTTAGACTTAAGAAGATATACCTTAGTGTATCTACAAAAGTCATCAACAAAAGTAATGTAATACTTTTTCCACCTTTGTTAACAGTGTTGTTGAAATCTGCAAAATCTGAATGTATTAGTTCAAGGAATATGGTCTTTCTACTAATAACATATTTGAAAGGTTTCTTGGCATGCTTTGCTTTCTACTCACACTGGACATTTAGAAAAAGCATAAATGTTTATCATAGGAAGTAATTTCATTTTTCTAAGTCTTTTAATAGAAGCAATAATAACATGACCTAGTCTACCATGCCACAAAATAATAGATTCAACAATATAAGCAAAATTTGAAATACCTACATTATTGGTAATCTCTTGAACAATGTTTAATACAAATAAGCCCCCACTAAGATATCCTTCCCAACAAAGTCTCCTTCATGAGAAATAATTATTTTATCAGCTTCAAAAACACGTGTAAGGCCTACTTTGTTGAGAAGTACTCCGAAGACAAAGTTTCTACGAAGGGAAGGAACGTGCAAAACATTGTTCAAGGATAAAGTTTTTCTAGAAGTTTATTTAAGTAAAACTTCTCATACACCCATAACTCTAGCAGTAGTGGAGTTACCCATGTAAAAAAACTCTCAATCTGTGAACTCTTCAAAGTCATGTAATAAATCTTTATTGGCACAAAAATGCCTTGAAGCATCTATGTCTAGCACCTAATCAGTTTTGTTAGCCACCAGGTTTGCCTCAACAATGACATCAACAATCACTTCATTACCCTCAGCAAGATGAGCTTATACATTTCTTTGTCCTTCCTACTTTAAGTAGTGCCTTTTATTTCATAGCACTTGGCAGTCTTGTGACCAAGTTTTTCACAAACAAAACAAGGACCCGTAGAATTTTGAATTTGGCTCTTCGATTTGTTATATTGATTTTTTTACATGTTTTTTTTTTCAAGACTTTCTTTTGTTTGTCTTTGAACCTGTCTTTCACAACACTACCAAAAGATTCAACAAGATTAGCTCTAGAAGAATTAAGATAAAGTGCTTCCATCTTATCTTTGAGATGGTTCGCCTCTTCAGTCCTCATATGACTAATAAGTTCTTGGAGAGTTAAATTATTTTTCTTATGTTTTAATTGATTTCTATAATAACTCCAATATGATGGGAATTTTTCAAGAAAAACATTAGCCTAAAAAATCTCACAAATCTTCATGTCCTTGTTGAGAACATCAACAGTCAGGTTCTCATATTCGTGAACTTATTTCATTATTAGCTTATTGTCAACCATCTGGAATTTAATCCACTGATCGAAAACATATTTTTTTCTTTCATACATCATCAGCACCATATTTCTTTTTCAAACTATCTCATATTTCTTTAGCAGATTTATGGGTAACAAATAAATCAAATAAAGGATTAGTCATATGATTTAGCAAATATCCTCTTACTATTCTATTATCCTTTTCAAACTTCTTTTTAGCAATATCATCAACAACCATAACATTACTAGAATCACTAGCAGTGTTAGAACCATTCATACAAGGTTCGTTAAATAAAACAGAATCAACTTCTAATTTTTCAAAAAAAATTAAAAGTTATATGAAAACAAACCTAAGTATAGAACATGTCTCGCTATGCAATATCCTAGTATTCTGGATGCCTTATTTGGAGAATATATCCACAACTGTAATGGCTTTTCTATGGCCTGTTATTTCCATTTATCCTCCTAGAATGCAACTCGCTTCTTCTTTCGTTTATAAGCAATTTCCAAGATCATAATGTTGATGATCTGCATTTCCTTAGGGAAAAGATAGTCTATATACTCCTTTTATGCTGCTAGACAATCCACCATGTCTATTTTCGTATTTAGCCATTCTTCCAAAATCATTTCTTCTTCTTTCAATTCAGAATCCAAATATCTCAAGTAAGAAATGTCCATCTCGAAAATATCTCTACCTAAGATCCCAGTTTTTATAAGTACTTGCACTAGAAGCTTATTGTTGAACAAATACAGACAAGAAGCAACAGAAACGCAACAAACCGAGCTAAGTTGAAGATGTTTCATCATATTAGTAGCAAGCCTATTAGAGATATTATCTATCAAAAGGAAATATCATAAAATTATTTTTCTAAATAGACTATTTATGAGGTGTGTGTTATTTGACATGTTTGACTTTGATGTAAAGGGAAGGAAATGGCAATCCACCATATTTGGTGACTATTCTTTAAGACTCGTAAGAAAGATAACAAGCTTGTTGAACCTGAAGCAATTGAAAAAACTATGTGTTTGGTAAATTGAATATATTAATTACTTGAAATTGATGTGTTATGATAGAAAATGTTCTTTGATATATTTTGTTGGCTCAACTCGAAGAAATGGTTCAAGTCGATCTATCCCTACCTACTACAGAGATTGTTGTAAAATGTTGTGGACCTCAAAGTCGTAGCCATGTATTTGGATTTGGGAGTGGATTCAAGGCAAAAGACTTGAAAGGTGGAACTTCTTCAAAGGCTGAATTGTTGTCTGTGCTACGTTCAACTCGAGAGGATATCAAATCCTTGAATGAAGAAAACAAATCCCTGAACGAGGAAAACAAATCTTTGAATGATCGATTGTCCGCCATAGAAGATGAGATGAAAGAAATAATGAAAATGAAAGAATTCTTCGCTGCTCAACAATCACATGTCCCACCTATAACATCATCTCTTTCAACTTAATGACCACTGCTTTTTCAGATGAACATGTTAGTAAATTATACCTAAATTTTTAATTAAATTTGTTGAGATGTCGCATCATAATGAATGACCACTGCATGAGATGTAGTCTATAGTTCAATCGTTTTAGCAATATGTGCCTTCTTTAGACTCATGAAATTTGTATTTTTCTATCTTACTTTATGCCGGGATCTGTTTTTATTTTCTGCATAGCTGCATAACAACACAAACTTTTTTTAAAAAAAATCTACACTGCTGCAACATTTCTTGATAGAGATAACTTGAGATGTAGTCTATAGTTCAATCGTTTTAGCGATATGTGTTGTCTTTAGATTCATTAAATTTGTATTTTTCTATCTTACTTTATGTCGGGATTTGTTTTTTATTTTCTGCACAGCTGCATAACGACACAAACTTTTTTTAAACATTCTGCACTGCTGTAACATTGTTGTCAGCTTCTCTATTTTATTGGTGTTGCACTGCTGCAACATTTCTTGATAAAGATAGCGTGAGGTGTAGTCTATAGTTCAATCGTTTTAGCGATATGTGCCTTCTTTTGACTCATGAAATTTGTATTTTTTTTATCTTACTTATGTCGGGATCTATTTTATATTTTCTGCACAGCTATATAACGGCACAAACTTTTTTAAAAAAATTTTTGCACTGCTGCAACATTGTTGCTTGCTTCTCTGTTTTATTGTTTTCTGCACTGCTGCAACAATTCTTGATAGAGAATGCTTCCCCAACATGTACTGACAAGAGCCTAGTTAATAGATGTTTAGAGCTCTTGGTGTAATGATAGTGTCAAGTGCTCTTGTCTTTATATAGTAACTGTGAATCCATTGTATCCACAAACAAATTTTTTTCCTGGATAAATCCCATAGGTTCTTTAAAATAGTTGCCTTGTTCCAGATATCCAAGTGGAACATATTTAATCCTCTTGCATCCTTTGGTTTGCACACCTTTTCCCATGAGACCAATGCCTTCTTTGAGACACACATATTCTTTTCTTTTGTGTCTGCTCGCAACGAAATTGGCTGGCAGCTAGCATCCTCACAACTCTTGTGGTAGAGCATCTTCTATACATAGTACATCAGATAACATTGTGAGGCCTTACCAACTTCTTCATCGACTTCAGTTATACATGCATCGTATTTGTACCATTGGTTTCTCAAACGCAAATAAGTCACATAGTAAAGAGGTCCAAGCAACCTACAAGAGATTCACTTAGCTTACTGGCCTTACTACTAAAATCCTTTCGGCTGGAGTTGCATGCACTCAAGTCGAGAGAAATGGCTACCTTTATCTTCATGTTTCTCCTCTTCCTTTTTTGAGGTTGTTTGAACCCCTTTTCTACACAATCTTACTGCTTCTTTGTGTCCTTTTTATACCAGCACTCAAGGCTAGTAGACTATAACACCCGAAAACTAGTAGACTAAACTAGAGGGTTCTAGAGCTTAATGTGGGGTTTAGAGTCGTAGATATGACCTCCCA